AAAATTACAGTGAGAATTGCCTCATCTGAGACGTAATGCTAAATAATTCTCAAAAATTAAAATAGAATACCTAATTTAAAAAACCAAGGTCCAGCTCACATATGATTAATTAATGTATATATTGACAAATTGTGGTTGAGCTTACGTATACCTATACTATTTATGGCAATTACCCTTTTCTGCCAAAATTTTAAATTACTGTTTTCGCCATCTTTCGTTTCAGCCAATTTTAAAAAAGTTTGACTCCCTTTTACCAGCTAAGGTAAAATTATTGTACTTATAACGTTATAAACCATATTTTAAATTTTTGAATGTAAATAAAAAAAAAGGCGGGTAAGTGGGTGCCCTCTGCTGTACCTAAAGTAGGGGTTACAAGCGGGTCACTATAATGGATGATGTTGAATTTTAATTCAATGATATACGAATATATATATATCGTAATATCATTGTACCTATACGAAAAACGATTCGGAGCGAAGACGGTCATTCAGCCTATGATATTACTAAGTAGATTTGGTGATATTATTGTGAACAATGTAATTTATTTACGTATTTAAGTGGAACCACTGGAACCTTGTTTTAAATTTTCAATCCTTACCTATAAAAATTTAACATTTTAAAAATGTTCAACTACAAAATATTGTTTTAATTTTAATTGTGATAAACTTTGTCATAATTTTAACTTTTAATTGTTATAAAAAAAATTGTGCCTATATATTTTTAATATTTTTAACTGCCCTTGTAACAATATATTAGGAGCCTTGTATTAAATTTGCAAGCTTTTTGACCGAATAAAATGTTATTGACATTTATAGAAAAAAAACTAAAACATTGGAAACTGAAAGTGTCCGCAAACAGCTAAAAAACAAGTGTATTGAAAATGCTAATATAAACATTCAGTGATAACTTAACGTGTCTACGGTCATTTGTTTTAGAGTTACCTACACAAAAAACCAAAATCGATTTTGTCCAAATCCGATTTTGAATAAAAATTCCCGTTTTTTCTTAACTTTTTTTTTTGTTTTTAAATGTTGACTTTCCCAATTCGCCTAATATATTCACTTTCCAATCGAATAAGATACTGAAGTTGAAAATCGAAGCATTTAGACTACTCATCGTGCACACAGACACAAATAAAAATAAAAAAACACACAATATCATTGTAAAATCAATACATTCAGCGCTCCGCTCAGAATCTAAAAGAAAGTGTATTTTCCATTATATTTAACACAGGTTAGATATACAATCTTCATGGTTCATACACACAGGACACAGCCATATGAGTATATTATATAACTTAAATATGGAATTTTCGTATAATCATATCAATCGATAAGATTGAAACTATACAGTACAGACGAGAACATTTTGTATCCCATAAAACTCTTCCATCACAAATTATTTTATACTTTCATAACACTCAAACTATAGTGATCGCATTATATGAAATATTAAGATAAAAGTATTCTTTCCTGTAGGTATTGTGTAGTACTATATAGTGTTTAATGGTTAAAAAGTACTTACGGCATAAACGTATTTGTGAATTCGTCGTTTAATAACCAGACAGTCAGTATTATGACAGACGGTCCTGCTTGTGTGAAAAATATGGATATGCATGACAGAAAGTTTATGTCGACCTACTTAATAATTGTTGATTGTGTTTCATTCACACTTTAATCAACAGTTTTATAAATCACACACCCAAATATATGATTATATTTTTAAAAATGTTGTTTGAAAACGTCCTGATGGGACACTTACATTAAAATTAATAGCGGGAGTTTAAGCATTTCTAACACTCCAACAAATTAATTCACTTTATTGAAATGTATTAGGACTGGAAAAGCTATAAGTAATTTAAAAAATAAAAAAAATTGCGTTATCGTTGAATTTAACTACCCACGTTAAATAAATAAACAATTCATTGTGTATTTATGTACAAGTGACATTTTGATATGACTTATTTGTTATTATTATTATGTTTGTAGAAACTATAACGAAATATGTGTGTGTATATTTTAATATGCACCTACCTATAGTGTTTGTTTTGATATTACATTAATTATTACCATTGGCGAAACTAGGGGGGTGCAAAAGGGTCTTTAGAACTACCGAGTTCTAATTAACGAGCGCCTCTCGTTTTTTTAGGTTTAACCAAGCCTGGGCAAGTTAATGAAAATTTTTAACTGAGTTAAGTTAAGTTAATGGAAAACATTTTAAAAAGTTTAAAGTTAACAGTTAACCTAATTTTTTTTTTAACTCAGTTAAGTTAAAAGTTATATGAACATTTTCAATTAACTTATTAACTTAAGTTAAGTTAATTTTTTTTTTTCATAATACAGTAAAACTTCCGTAAACGGTCACCTCTATGTAACAGTCAATTTTTTTGGTCCCTTCGAGTGTTATCCTACATCTGTAGGACGGTCACCTCTAAATAGCGGTCATTATTTACAGTCCCTTTGGTGACCGTTGTATGGAAGTTCTACTGTATCTATATAAATACCCAATAATATGGTTTGAAATAATAAAAATCATAAATATTATTGAACACAGGAAATAGCCAATAGCTTTTCTATACATGTAATATATAATATTTAGACTTAAAATAAAACACGAGACAAATAATGAAAACGGACCATATTATGGGGTGTGGGTGGTCCGATATGCATATATACGTACGCATTAGGTACATAATATATACCTACAATATACGCACTTCTTTTACATACACGCAGCACCTGCAACACATAAATAATATTCTACACCTCTCCGACCAGATATTTAGTGGAGACAACACAATCAAATATCAACGGCGCCAGTAAACACCGTATATTATAAAATTATGAAAGCATTCTTTCATATACATATACGTACATCACACGTGTACGTACACATAGGTATATATATATTATATACTTCAAGTCCCCTTCGATAATTCTCCAATCAAGACGTTCGGTCAAAACAAAACTATAAATTACCAGCTGCAGTACCGTTGTCGCACCACACGAAATAATAAAAATATATCAATACTTTAATCGATGCACAAGAAGAAGGGATCAACCAAAATCGCATTATATAAAGGCCACAGAGCATCGACTCGTCGCCAGTATCTTTCAGGAGAAGACTCATGCACAACGTCCACGTCAGTCATCATCACAATCCTTTTCCACTACTGTCGAAGCCATCACTGTGCGTTTATGCGTATACAATATATGTATATTGAATCATTCTTTTACCCGGTATGTCTGTCTAAATTAGTTGTCTCTTTCACAGTCAAATTGAAATTGTTCATCTCTTCACACTCACCTATCCATTGGTCTTTCAAAACATAAGGCTCTGTGACTATTATCATACTATAGGCCTGTTGCATCACTACTGCACATTTATATCTTAGAACACGAGTATAGAAGTAACAGTGCTCTCTTAACTTAAATTACATTCGGTCGGCGATTGGACTATACGTACTAGTTGCTACGAATGTAGGGATTCTAAGAGCTATACATAGAATATAAGTATAGAAGTAAGTGCTCACTTAACTTAAATTACATTCGGTCGGCGATTGGACTATACGTACTAGTTGCTACGAATGTAGGGATTCTAAGAGCTATACATAGAATATAAGTATAGAAAATAAGTGCTCATTTAACTTAAATTACATTCGGTCGGCGATTGGACTATACGTACTAGTTGCTACGAATGTAGGGATTCTAAGAGCTGTGTTCAAGATATAAATGTGTAATAACAAATATTTATCACTCTAAATCACATTCGGTTGGCGGAGAGACTATACGTATTCCTATTGTTAATGCAAGGATTTTAAGAGCGTATGGTGATAGTCACAGATAGAAATTATATACGAAATCCTACAGATCACATAAAAGAATATACATGTATTGTCATCGTGAGACCGACTATTGAACACGACCCCGAAGGACTGCAAACACTTAAGAGAGAACCAGCTGCAGCGAGGTAAGTGTTTTGGATATTTATATAACAAAAGTAGGTGATTCAAATATCATTAGACAGTTAGGTACAACACAGTAGTAGGGAGATCATAAGCGGAAATCTCCAATATTTATTATAACACACATATCTCTCCCCTATAACCATTACCTTCCCCTACCGACTATTCTCCCCCTTACAACTAATTTGTCCCCCGCGTATTTTCTCCTTACTACATACATAGGTAGGTACTGAATTAATAGAATAATTCTACCTACCTATAATTATTATATAGTAGGTACAAAATTGAAAATGCCGAAACAAATACACTCTTTTGATATTTTATTAATACACTAATACAGATAAGTATTCTATTTTTTTTTTAAATTATTAAATAAAAACAACATAGTATTTAAAAATGTACTTAATTTTAAACTCTGAATACTTTTTCAGGGAACTAAAAATCTAAAACTGTTAGAGAATATAGTACTTAGTCAACTTTGTACCTCAGTAAAATAATTACTGAACACTGATAGTCACTGTGATTCACACAATTCACACAAATCACTGAAACGCAGTATTGTAAATCCGAAATCGTGTGTTGCGTGTTGATAGAGCCGAGAACGAAAAGTGAACCCATGTGGGCTATGAATATTTTGCCTAGGTACTGACAATATTGACTGTTTATTAATATAAACATTTGAAATTTAAATGTATGTACATGGGCATAACCCAATAAGTTTTAATTTAAAAATAACCTATTTATGCCGAAAATATTTTACATTATGTTCTTCAGAATTGTACATTTTTGATTTGTATCTATATCAAAATAATACGATAATAGGTATATCATATTACTTATTAGTTATTAGTATTTACTATTTTTTTTTTTTTTTTTTTTTGTTTGTTTAAAGCCTCAACAACAAAGGTTATTGGCTTACGGTATTTACATTTTTACATTTTTGGATATAAAAAAATTATGGTTATTACTAATCCTAAGTTTAAGGGTGTACAAAATAGTGATAAATAATAGAATAGAAAAAAAAAGAACAATGTAATTAAATAAGGTTGTACAGTTTTGTTTGCTGTAAAAACATTAGGGTGTTATTGAAGTTTTTGAGGTCGGGTCCGAGTATTTCGTAGAGGTGGTCCGGGATATTTAGAGAGGTTTTGGTATCCGCGTATTTCCGGCAGTGAAGAAGAACGTGTTCGACGGTGATGATTTCCCCGCAGGTTGTGCATTGGGTTGGATCTTCATGTCTCATGAGGAAGTTATGTGTAAGCCACGTATGGCCGATTCTAAGTCGGTTGACTATGACTTCATGACGTCTCTTGGTGGTGAGTGTTGGCCAAGGGTTGATGGAAGGTTTGATAACATTTAATTTCGAGAGTGATGATGTCCAACGATGCTGCCACTGTTGCAGCGTCAGGGACTGTAATACTCCCTTGATATCGCCCAGGGAGCAGATTTGCACTAAGGAGGCTTCGGGGGAGGTTATGGCTCTTTTAGCGTAGGTATCTGCTGTTTCGTTGCCAGGGATTCCGATATGGCTAGGAATCCATACCAGTAACACGTTTTGATTGTTGTGATTTAGGAGGGAAATTTGATTTTGAATCATTCTGGATATGGCATTGGGTTGGTTTATGTTGCTTATGCTGTTGATAGTACTTTGATAGTCACTTAATATGAGCGCTTTATCAATTTTGAGTTGTTGAATTGTTTCAAGTGCGTGATAAATCGCATAAGCTTCTGCTGTGTAGATTGAACAGAAGTCAGGAAATTTGATCATTTTTGGTGTATTGTTGAAGTATACCGATGCCCCAACTCCTGCTTCAGTTTTGGAACCGTCGGTGTAAAACTTGATGTAATTCTGATAGTCTTCAAGTAATGAAAGTGTCAGATTTCTAAAAGTATAGTCCATAGTCTCACTTTTGATGTGTTGAGAGAGATCAGTATTAGAGTGAAGTTCCATCACCCAAGGAGGAGTGATAGCATGCTCGTGTTTAAGTACTCCTGAACAATTGAACTTGAAGTTGTTGAGCTTTATTGTATTTTCTAAGTTAGAGGTAGTGTTATTATGTATTCTTTTAGCCTTTTGAAGTGTGGAGTTTTGCATTCTCCTTAGGTCAAGAGGAAGTGTGTTTGCAATATTGAGAATGCTTGAGATAGGGCTGGAACGGAATGCACCTGTGGCAAGTCTTAGACCTGAGTTATGAATAGTCTCTATCATTTTGAGTGCAGATTGTTTAGCGTCAATGTAGATGAAAGCACCATATTCTAATTTAGATAAAATGAGAGATTTATATATTTGTTTAAGAGTGGTTCCGTTTGCTCCCCACGAGGTGTGAGCTAATGATTTGATGATGTTCAATTTTATTAGAGTTGCTTTTCTGATATCTTAAGTGGGCCTGCCATGTATTCTTGTTGTCGAAAGTAATTCCGAGGATCTTAATGATTTTAGTATATGGTATTGGTATGTTGTTTAACTTTACTTCTAAATTGTTATATTTTCTGAGCCTGGTAAAGAGCGTGCAGCGAGATTTTGTGGCGGAGAAAGTGAAGCCGGTTTTAGTGGACCATTTTAATAATGAGTTAAGTGTATCCTGTAGGGCTGATTGGATGGAATTTGGGTTTTTTCCTCTGCAGAGGATATTTAAATCGTCTGCAAAAAGTGTAGATTGAACCGGAAACTTAATATTCTCACAAATATCGTTGATGGCGATAAGAAATAGAGTAACTGATATAGTAGACCCTTGAGGGACACCGTTTTGTTGAATAAAGGTGGGGGATAGATAATTGTTGATTTTCACTTGGAATGATCTATCCAATAAAAAATCCTTTAGGAAATTGAACATTCTGCCATTACATAGGATGTTACCAAGTTTTTGCAGTATGCCTGGTCTCCAGGTTGTATCGTAGGCTTTGGCTATATCTAGTGCAACTAGTCCTAGGACTTGTTTGTTTTTGAATGTTTTTTGAATGTTATCTTGAATGTCCTGCAGAGAATTGTAAGTGCTTCTATGTTTTCGAAAACCATTTTGTTGAGGAATAAGATAATTTATTTTTTCTAAAAACCAACGCAATCTAATATCGATGATTTTTTCAAGCAGTTTACACATGGTATTTAATAATGAGATGGGTCTGTAGCTGTTTGATTTGAATTTGTCGTTACCGGGTTTTAGTATAGGAACCACTATTGAATGTTTCCAGGATATGGGGAGCTTACCACAGTTCCAGATTTTGTTATAGATGTGAAGAAGGTAGGTGAGTGCTGAAAGAGGTAAATTGTGTAAGAATATGTACGGAATATCATCGGGGCCTGGGGAGAGACTGGAACATTTTTTCAGCGCCCAATTTAGTTCCTTAAGAGAGATCGGAAGGTTTAGATGTACCTGATCTTGTAAAGCAGGATCAATGTTGGAAATATACTGACTGTTTCTGTTTTGGATGTTGTTAGTCACAAAGTTCATGTCGTAATTGTCATCAGAGCAGTTTGATTGGAAGGAGACTCCGAGGTGATTGGCCACATCAATAGGGTTTGTGTGTATTGTGTTGTCAATGATTAAATGGGTGTGTTTTTCTCTACTTTGACCACGCAAGGATCTAACTTTGCTCCAGATTATGCTAGAGTCGATTTTGGGAGTGATGCTTGAAGTGAAGGATTTCCAAGACTTCTCTTTGCTCCTTTTTACAAGATATTTGGTCTTTGCCCTTAAATGTTTCAGTTTTATATGATCTTCAATTTTTCCTGAGACTTGGAAGGTTTTTAGTGCTTTGTTTTTGTTTTTGATTGCTTCTTTAATCTCAGAGTTCCACCACGGGACGTTGGGTTTTGTTGTTGAAATTTTGGTTTTGCCTATTGCCATGTTGGCTGCATTTATTATTGTCTCAGATATGTGAGTAACATCGATGTCAATTGAGCAGTCCGTTGGTGGAGTGTTCGTATATAAATTGGTTTCGATTAGTTGTATGAAGAGATCCCAGTTGGGATTTTTGATTTTCCATTTAGGAATGGTCTTGCAGGGGGACGTTTTGTTCGTTAGAAGTTCCATTTTAATGGGTATGTGATCACTATCATGTATCTCTGCTAGAGTTGTCCATGAGATTCGTTGGGCTAGTGATGTACTTGACAGGGATAAGTCGATGGTTGAGAATAGGCCGGTTGCTGGGTTGAGTCTAGTATAATCCCCGTTGTTAAGAAGGACTATGTTGTCATTCTCCAAGATTTTGTTAATTTCTTTGCCTCTGGGGTCGGTTCTTTCGGATCCCCAGTTTTCACTATGACTGTTGAAGTCTCCTACCAATAAGAAAGGGGGAGGCAGTTGTTTGATTAAATTTTCTATGTCTGAGGACGAGAAAGGTTTTTGGTTTGGAATGTACAGATTACAGATGGTGATGCTGGATTCGAGTTGAATAGTTATAGCGATTGCTTCAAGAGTGGACTGTATTGGTACTAGTGTTGTGGGGTAGTCGGTACGAGCCAATATTGCCACTCCACCGCTCGCCCTATCACACCTTGTACGATTTGAGTAGTAGAGTTTATAGTTTTTCAAAACAGGGATATATGAATCTTTGAGATTGGTTTCTTGTAGACAAAGAAGAATGGGGTTATATTTGTGGTTTAGTATTTGAATGTTGCTTAGTTTTTTAACTAATCCGTTTATATTCCATTGAATGATGTTTAAGCTCATGATGATTGAAGTAAGTATTATTTGCAAGCATATTAGTGATGTAGAAAAATAGGAATCCTTTTATTCATTTGGTTGAATTAGTTGGGAGGAAGGGTCTTAAACAATAAGTTGGATAAAATTTTTATTTTGGACTTCATTGCACGATCTGTAATTAGAGGGTATATTTTTTCCGTCAAGTCAAACATGTCCGAGATGTTGGAATTAATTTCGTCGCATAATGTGTATATATTAATATTAGGGTTTCTAATATTTTCCAAAAAGTATTTAAATTGGTCCAGGGTGATTGAGGTATTCTCACTGTCGCTGAAAAAGGCGACTGTAGGTTCAAGCGAGGTGTTGATTTTGTTGTCGTCGGTGGAAGTGAGAGAGTTGGATCTAGAGCGGCTGGTTTTGGCTTTTTTTTTTCAGGTTGAATGAAAGGCATAGGGCTGCCTGGTGCTGTAGGGGAGGTGGGAGATTTAATTGTATTTGTATCCGATAGAGGTCTTTTGGCTTGAGTGGTGATTGGTGTTTTCATTGTTGCATGGGATGTTTTAGTATTTGCTACGGGTTGGGATGAAATTATATCATTGTTTTCCTGATTCCAGTCCATGGTACTTTGTGGTTGGGTTGTGTCTATTGGAGGTAATTCAGGAAGCTGAATATCTTCTAGTAGTTCTGTAGTATGATCATCAACGGTTGCAATTTTGCTGTTATGAGAAATTTGTTTTTTACATGACGCAGAAGTGTGACCCACCTCTTTGCATAGGAAACAAGTGATTCTGTCGTCAGTAAAAAAGATTCTAAATGAGGTTTGGTTAAAGTTAATAACTAACGACCCAGGTAATTTGGTGATATCTTCTTGATTTATAAACATTTGGCGGCGGAAACTCAGGATATGTTCGTATCTCGCAATATTGATGCCGGCTTTTATATGGTTTAGTTGTGAGACTGAAGATATATTGATATTTTTTAATGCGTTGAGAATTATTATGTTAGGTATGGATGGACACACATTTGATATCGTGATCTTTTTGGCTGGATTAATCAATCTGCGAATAGGGATAGTGTGTTCATTTATTGATATCGTTTTGGATTTTTCAAGAAGTGTATCGAGTACTTCTTTGCTTGAAAAAAAAATACAGAAACGATTGTTGGATATCCTTGAAGTGAATATTATATCCCGGGGGGGATCAGTTTTCCAATTGCAAGTATATATTCTATTTGTCTGATACCGTCTATAGAGTTGAAAACAATTGCTTGTTCCCTGGATGGAGTTTTTTCGTTTGCCGTAATCGTAGCAAAACTGGTAGGTGATTCTGAGCTGCATACTGGGTGGGGTTGGTCGTTGTCGTCGTTGAAAACGATACCGTTTTGGTTATCAGAAATGGAGAGGTTATCGTGTTGATTAGCTGCAGCGGTAATTAGGAGAGCAGCGGTGGTGGCAGAGGTAGGAGTGGAGCGTGGAAGTGGCGGTAATGTATCAATATTATCTACAGAGACATTTGAGTTTGACTTGTTCGAGCTAGGATTTGTTTTTGAACTGTTTGATTTGGTGTAGATGGGAATTTGTTTAATATGGCTTGTGGGTATGTTTTTTACAGAAGGTGTTTTCGAGTGGGTGTTTGTGATATTTTTGTTTAATGTTTTTGTAAAAGGCGGTTTGCCTTTTGTATTTTTGTCGCTCATTACGTCGAGTGTTCCGCGTCAGATAATAAAAATAATGATTATATTACCTGTTCGCTGGTCACCGGCATAATTAACGGAGTGCTATCGGAAGCTATAAAAGCGCACGGTCGCGAAAGATGTACACGTGCTGTTCACTCGGAGGTCGAACACGTACTGTATTTACTATTTATTAATTATTATTATTACAATATGCCCGTATGCCGCATGATGGTACGGTATATCTTTATATATACGATAGTACGATACACCTCTATGTTATAATATAATTGGCTATTGGCTATTGCATATTGCTATATCTATATGTATTTAATCGAGTTATTTTTCTTGAAGAATTCTGGTTAACGGAACAAGAAATTAATTTAACTATATTTGTAATTTCCTATTCTAATAAATGGCTATGTCTTATGTAATATCAATAATAATTTTTATTTTTATTATTTTTATTATTTAATTATTTATAAATTAACTTAACTTGAATTTGATTAAAAGTAACTCGTTATTTATTAAGTTTATATCAATTAAAATAAGTTAAGTTAAAAATTAAGTTAATGAAAATTAAATTTTAAAAAGTTAAGTTAATAGTTAAAATTAACTTAACTTTTAACTTTTTAACGCGTTTATGCCCAGGCTTGGGTTTAACTATCATTATTATAGTGAAATACCATCAAACTTATGTTTTTAAAATATGGATTATTATAGCACCCCACGTTTTAAAGGTCTAGTTGCGTCTACGGTTATTAGTTATTAGTTATTATTTTTATAGAAACTATGTTGAATGCTTGAATAAATAACAGATAAACTTATTACTTATTTGTTATGTTATATCTATATTGTTTAATATAAATGTCATATAAACGGCGTGTGCTATTATTCGAAACTTAAAAATTTAAATATAGGTTACCTATTTAAAAAAAATCACATTTTTTTTTATATATTTACAACATTCAACATGTTATGTAAATTCTAATACTGATTATATATTACTCACGTATTTAACTCAATACATGAAAACGCAAAATTTCTTCCAAAAATATGGAAAATAATTATAATAGGTTCACTACAACGAGTAAATTTGCGGAAACAGTACATAATATATAAATATAATAACTGAAATTTAGAAGCAGAGTTTACTTTTGACCTTTTTATTACTTGACATTACTGTGTCATATTTACAACAGATTTTTCAAATAATATAAGTTATTATATTTTCTGCTCCCACTTCTAGAGCACTCACCCCTGACTATATTCCTTCGTATCATCATTGTTCAGTAATGAAAAATAATTATGTTTAATATAATACATTTCAATCTATTTTCTGCAATATTTTTTTTCATCTCAGTAATACTTACCTAGTTGCTGATTAATTTTGAAACAGTTTACTATACTAAGAATAATACAATATTGTATAATATAATACATTTCAATCTATTTTCTGCAATATTTTTTTTCATCTCAGTAATACTTACCTAGTTGCTGATTAATTTTGAAACAGTTTACTATACTAAGAATAATACAATTGTATAATAGAGCCTATTATGTGCATATTGATATTATTGAAACCAAAAAAGAAAATAAAGACACATCGAAGGGGTCCAATAATACGGTTTCTACCAAACTATGTTTCATCCTTTAAAAAGAACGACCTACCACCTACTTATTGAAACTATTATGCAAGTTTTACTTGTATTAGTCGGTTATTATATAATCACATAAATGCCATGTTACAGAAATAAGTTTATTGTGAAATGAAAACAATTAAACGAAAACGTATCCCATAAAAGTTATATAATATCAAATATCAATCAATTTAGTCTATTGTATTATTTTCTATTGGTAAGTTCGAGCGAATACGCTGAATAAGCGGCAATTACAATTACAACATTTCTTGAAATACAGTTATGAAATATTTCATTTAAGGTACGGTTTCGTTAACGCAGTTGACTGCACCGGTATTTTGTATGACTGCTGCAGTCAACTGCGGAAACGAAACCGTACCTTTATAAATCAGCAAACTCGCTCTGTGGCAGTGGCGTAAGTATGGGAGGGAAGGGTGTTTAAGTACCAAAAAAAAAGGTCACGGTTAGGTATTATATAAATAATATATTATTATATTAAATGCATTGAAGTTGAAGATGAAAGGAATATCAAATTTCTGTAAATCCAGTAATAATTAATTTCAAAACTTTACAAGTTTGTATTATTACTTATTAATAATAATACAATAATATTGTTCACATTATTCACTATTGCACTTGGTTGAATATCGATGGCCGATGGGCTATTAATAATACAAACTATACCTACATAAAAAATCCAATCGCTTACGAATTCCCTTTGAAGAAAATCCCAAAATAAAAAGAGGAAAACATTTCCGTAAAATGTATGGAACTTGCGGACTTTTGAATGTGCCAATCAATTTAATTACACTTTTTCTATAGAAAAATTCTAATTAAACTATTATAATATACTTTCTATAGATGCCAGAGCAAAAATATAGGTTTCCTGAACAATTAGAAGAACTACGTTTTGTATGCGTACATTGACACATTGATTTTATAAAATAAATTATTTATAATAGGAAATTATAAGATACTGAATAAAATACACCCACGACCGCAACGTACTTAAAATGTCTATTCAGAACGCCGTTTTTATCATAAAATTTTTTTACAGTACCTATTTGATTTATTACTAAACACCATTTGGGTCCTGGTGTGTCCAAGCGGTTGGACTCAGTCACTAACGTGTTCTGAGGTCAAGCACCGGCCTGCCTTGCTAGTTCCCGGATAATTTAAAATTTTTTTATACCAGAATTGGATTTCGAACGAGTAAAATAAGTAGTAATGGTATTATAGAATACATTTTTAACAAAATAGGTATTTACTATTTAGTTATAAATAAAAAAGATGCAAAGTTACACATTACTACAATAGCTAATACGCTTAAGAGGAGAGCATCGATGTCGGAGGTGGGAAGGAGCAGTTGCTTCAAGCGGCAGGGGCGGAAAAAAATATAAGGGCGGTAAAAAATCGATACTATCGTATGTAATATAATAAAAATAAAAATTTAGTAGAATAAAATATATTAATTTCCTATTTTTAGTTTAGGAATTTACGATGTCACCAAAAGCCCGATTTTAATTTTGAGAAATTAATTGAATTCCTTATTTCTTTTCTAGTCTCTAGGTTATGTATGAAATGGATTTTCGATTTTTTCGTATTGTTTAGTTAATATAGAACCAAATTAATTCTTTTTTTTTTCAAATTTCGCATTTATTTTAATATTACTAAAAAAAAAAAAAAAAAAATCGAAAATCCATGTCTTACATAACCCGTAAAAGAGAATAAAGAATTCAAATATTTTTTTCAATATTAAAATTGTACTTCTACATTATTTTTTTCTTCCGGTTATTGGTCTAAATGTTCGAAAAAGCGACCCCCACTTTCAAAATCCTTAAACACTTATCATTGATTTCATCGTCATAATAAAATTATAGTCTTGAGTTCTTGACGGTGAAGTGACCCGTGTCACATGTGTAGTGATGTACACTTGTACACTGTATCTGGTTCATGTATTTATGTGTATTTTAAAAAGATAATATGTGAGCAAGACTATAAATTACAGATGAGTAAGCATATATTATTTTAGATTCTGAGTGAAACGATGAATGTATTGATTTTACAATGATGTGTGTTTTTATATTTTTTTATTTTTTTATTTTTTTTATTTTTGTGTCTGTGTGCACGATAAGTAGTCGAAATAATGCTTCGATTTTCGACTTCAGTATCTTGTTCGATTGGAAAGTGAATATCGTTGGTGCACTGGGGAGGTCAAAATTTAAAATTCCCAATAGTTTTCACAAGCGCCGGGAAAAACAACTTAAAAATTAAGGAAAAACGAAAATTTTTACGCAAAATCGGTTTTTGACAAAATCGAATTTGGTTTTTGGTGTAACTTTAAAACAAATGACTGTAGGAACATGAAATTTTGACTGGTTGTTTATATTTGCCTTTTCTATACACGATAACATTTTCAAAATATTTTGATTTATTTTGAACTGTTTAGGGACATTTTCATTTTCCGTTTTTTTTTTAGTTTTTTTTCTAAAAATATCAATAAAACTTTGTTTGTTGAGTAGAAATACTTGAAAATTTAATACAAGGCTCCTAGTATATTGTTCCAAAGGCAGATGAAAAATTTAAAAATCGTTAGTCACAGTTTTTTTTTATAAGCATTTAAATTTCAAAAATTGAGAAAATATGGAAAAATTACGAAAATTAGCAAATTATTTTGAGTTAAGAATTCGTAAAAATTTTTCTTTTTAAATCTAAGATTTGAAAATGTAATACAAGATTACTCATAAGTTTGTCTACCTTTATAAATAAAAAAATCTCTACCGGACAGTCAAATTAAATTTTTATGAGCGTTTGAAATTCAAATTTTTACAACATTGGATGTTCACTCGATTTCTCATGTAGCGATTTCCTTATTTTGTTGTTATTCATAAACGAATAACTATAGATACATGGAAATTTCACTGAATGTTTATATTAGTATTTCCTATACACCATACAATTTTGAAAATATTTTGACTCTTTTTGAGCTGTTTACGGATATTTTCATTTTTCAATTTTTTTAGTTTTTTTTTCTATGAATATCAATTAAGTTTTATCTGTTGGGCCAAAAAGTGTAAAAATGTAATACAAGGCTCCTGATATATTGTTACAATATCAGTTGAAAAATATTAAAAATACATAGGCACAATTTTTTTTTATAAGCATTTAAACATCGAATTTTGACAGAATTTTTCAGAATCTCGAAAATTATTAATCATCGTAATTAATAAATTATAAAATGTTTAGTTTTTATAGCTAAGGATTGAAAATTTAAAACAAGGTTCCACGTAAGTAGTTAATTCTCTTACCGAAAAATCTAAAAAATATACAATCACAGTTTATTTTTATAGTCATTTTATGTTCAAATTTGGACGTAATTACATATTAAAAAACCTAGTTATTTTGTTGTGATTATATAATATTATTCGTGGGTACCTACTTGAAACTTCTAAAGTGTACTATTACAGGGTTTGTTATTGATGTTCATGTATAACGTGTTATAAGTACCTAATGGATATTGTGATAATGTGATATGATTAATTTGGAATTTATTATTGGTCAATTTTTTTTTAATACCATAGATTTGTATATAATTTATCTTAAACCTAGACTGACATACCGTCTTCGCTCAGAATCGTTTTTCTTATACAAAATACAATGATATTGTATCATTGAATTCAAATTTAATAGCATCCATTATACAGTGACCCACTTGTAACCTACTGTACAGCAAAGCACCATACACTTACCCACCTTTTTTATTTTTTTATTTTTGTGTCTGTGTACACGATAAGTAGTCGAAATAATGCTTCGATTTTCAACTTCAGTATCTTTTTCGATTCGAAAGTGAATATCGTAGGTGCATAGGGGAGGTCAAAATTTAAAATTCCCAGTACTTTTCAAAAGCGCCAAGAAAAACAAAAGAAAAATTAAGGAAAAGCGGGAATTTTTACGCAAAATCTGTTTTTGAGAAAATCGATTTTGGTTTTTGGTGTAACTTTAAAACAAATGACCGTAGATACATGAAATTTTCAGTGGTGGTTTATATTTGCATTTTCTATACACGATAACATTTTCAAAATATTTTGATTTATTTTGAACTGTGTAGGGACATTTTCATTTTTCATTTTTTTTTTAGTTTTTTTTAAAAAATTAATTTCGGCAGTGCTTTGGTTCTGATACACCTATAAAAGGGTGTTTATTTTACTTTGGGCAATCTATTTGGCGTAAAGTTCAAAGTTTGGGATTAGCTTATGATTATACACATGACGATAATATTAAAAGAGTTGTTCGTCGTCTTTGTTCATTAGCCTTATTAGTTCCGATTGAACAAATTGATAATTGTTGGACAGAAATTCGTTGTGAAGCACCACAGTCAGAAAGTAAATATAACTTAATATATAACTTTTTACGTATTTTGTTACAACTATATTAGCAAAACCTAATTTTTTGCCATTATTATTTTAGGTGTGCTGAAATTATTAAATTATTTTACCGAAACATACTTGGATCCAGATATTTGTCTGTTTAATAGAAATATGTGGAATCATTTTAATACAGATGGATCAAGGACCATAAACCACCTTGAAGGATGGCATGCAGCTCTTAACAAAGCTGTTGGTAGAGGTAGACCAAAGCCAAACATATTTATTTTAATCAAAGAGCTAAAAAACCAACAAACAAACTTTGAGCTGATCTCATAGCGCAAAAAAACTGCAATCGGCCACAAAAGATGAAAACAAAATACAAAAAATTAGAAGAAAAATTATCATTTGCAAAAGAAAGGTAAAGCGTTTATGACATATAAAAATACATTTTTTTTCTAATAACGTTATAAAATATAATTCTAGGCTACAAAATGGTGCGATTTCTATCTTGGAGTACATGGACGCCATAATGTTTCATTTACATTTGTAAAACAATTAAAGCACATAAGGATAAGCTATATAGACTATATATTTGATAGTTGACTTGAACAATGTTCGTGATTTATAAAAATTTAAAACAGGAAAAAATTATATTTTTAAGTGTACCTATGTAATTCATTGTCAATGAATACAAATCGGGATGAAAATTGCATGTCGGCAAATTGAGTGTCGGCAAATCGGGTGTCAGTAAAATGGTGTGTCGGCGAATTGGTTTGTCGGCCAATTGGTACGTCACGGTCCGTCGATGGTGTAGATGGGAGACCTCATGGCGGCACCCGGCACCGGCGCCGCGCTGGTCGGGTCGACCGCGTCCGCGTGGCCCGTGAACCCGACGGTCGAGTCACTAATGCCGTTCACCACGGACTTGTCGGAAGGCCGCTGTTCCAGGCACACGAAAAACGTCAGCATGACACCCTGCAACACGATAGATAGCTCGCATGTTAATATTATATAGGTACTCGTTCTCAATGGCGATTATATATCACATTAATAAATATTGTAATAAAAACGGGCAGAAGCCCGATTTGTAATTACGTGTATAACTCTGATATACATAAATGTATTCAAACAGGTTAACACAAACAAAATAGATTTGAAAAAAAAATACGCCTAGTATATTTTACGAAAAATAAATAGCTATAGGGGCGAGTTTTTGGCGAACTCGGTATTATGAGATAGGACATAGAAAGCAAAGGAGATCTGTGACGATAAAGAGAGACTTTAAACTGGATATGATCTAATTATTATACGGAGAGTTAATGATAAAGTAATTGATAGTAAAAAATTGATAACGTTGTGTGGGAATCAAGGAATGGTATATATCCGCCATTCATAATTAGAGTGAGGGTTCCAAATAATGAAACCATGATACAAAATATATTTCAATATAGCCGTATAAAGCGATTTAAAAGATCATGGGTGTTTAAACTTAGACGAATGGTGTTGAATAAAATTTAACAAATTCAGACACGACCCCTAAAATCTACCCATTACTATAATATTATATACTTGTGAAAATTATTATTATATACATATGTTATTGCTCTAAAAATTTTAAGTGCTCACTGTTAAAAAATTTTCCTCATTTACACGAAGTGTTTGAAAATTACAAGAGATTTTCCAACTATTCAAATCCACGATAAATTTTAGCTTTTGGTTTGTTTTAAGTGTATAGTTACCCAATAGTTATTTAAAATAACTAATCTTGTAATAGTAGTAGACCCGGATTAATTAATGGGATTATTTATAAATTATAATCACAGTTAACGTAAAACTACAATAAAACATTGTAACACACCTACCACACAAGAACTAGGATTATTGGCGATTATCGAAATCAGCAGGTATAACAAAAGGTATAGGTATATAGGTTATAGGTATATAGTGAGGGCTACATTTAAATATTATGAGATTTCAAAATATAACATTAAACGAAACAAAACTATTTAATATTATTTCTGCGGCCTTTTTTTCTTTCAATAGACAGTTGACTTATTGATTTATATTTTATTTATTCTCGGGTTGCCCTAATAGTAATCTCGCTTATAAGTCCAGGGTTCGAATGGTGACTGAGTTTGTGGGCCGAAGGCCAAATACCTAGGGTGGTTAGAGGCCCCCACGTATGTACTTTATAGTTTATATTATAGTTGTATTTTGTAGTGACGGTGAATAAACGATACGGGCTCGGGTGGCAGTATTGTGCTAAACAGTTCCCACCCGTTCCTGTTTATAAATTAAAAAAAAAAAAAAAAAAAAAAAAAGGGTTCGGACGAAGTTGAGGACGAAAACCATTAAGCTTCTATAATATGCGTATAAAACTCTAAAAACATTATGGTTAATGGTTATACGCACAGGCAAATGTGAAAAATAGTGCCAAATTGACAAAATCTCTGAAATATGTGAAATACGATTTTGCGTATATCAACTCTCAATACTCGTCGTATTTGTATAAATTATACGGTTTAATATTTACGTATTGTAACTATTGCTCTGCTACGTTTTTCACTACAGATATATGCAAAATATAGTGCAAGTCCCGTACCCCGCAGCCTGCTAATGACAACGTGTGATATTAATTGTTATCATCAAACACTGGAAGACGTAAATATATTTTGCTTATCCGAGTTCTATGTACTATGATAATTTACTTTCACATATTTTACACGAAATTTGATATCGTCGGGTGTGCGGCTCGTTGCAGGAATACTTAAAATGCGCAGTTTTTGTCGTCGTCATTTACTCCCCTCCTCCTTCCCACCATCATAAATATACGAAAAAACTGTTTACTCACCAACACGACGTGCAACGAAATCTCAAAGTACGTTCCGTTTTCAAACCCGACCATGTCGTACAGAACGCCAGCTATCGACGGGCCCAAAAATGCACCTAGGGCGAACGACGATGTCCAGATACCGGAGAACAGTCCGTAAGTGTGTATGTCGTTTGGAAAACCGCTTTGGCTGCAGAACAAAATATAAACGTTACTCGCCTATAGGTTGTTGCTTTTTGTATGCCTTTTATTTTCATCTGCACTATTATAATATTATTAACTGTGAGTGAGTTGTATAACTTACAAGGCAGCGGTCATGGAATCTACGAAAGTGGGTACGCAGATCATGCCCAACGCGATTCCTTGTATGACCAATCCAATGACCACCCACAGCATGGATCTGGAAAACAAATGCAATTTACGATTGAAACACATATACAATTATTTCAGTGGTACAAATTGATAGGATGAAGACGTTCCATATATTTTACACTTTCTCATCGAACGGAGATAAACAAAACGAAACGAACAAATTTCGTTTCTCTTTTGAAAAGGAAAATAATACAAAACACGCGGGTACATAAAAAATGAATATGAATCAAGAAAACAATATTGTTTATTAGATTACACAAACCACCCTCGTATTTCTTTTTTATTATTATTATTATTTCGAGTGCGTCAGTATGGTGAATAAATTATTGTGATGCGCTCGTATACATCTATCACGAGGTGGTGAACGATACTTGTAAAATATTTACAAGTCATTCTTTCTGACAGCCCTACACTGGAGGCATTAAATATACATTTTATTTCACTTTTTTATTTTTGAAATTAAATTTAAGACGTCCAAATCGAATCAATTTACTTCTGATTCGATTTGAATATTTAAACATTCGAATCTTTAATAAGTCGGACAAGCCACATAATATGTACATTTCGACTGATGTGAATACAAATGCATTACTGTAGCGTCAACATGAAAAATTAAAATTAAATTGATTATAATATCATCTATACAATTATATTTTGAATTGCCAATATTTCTAATACATCCACAAATAGTGAAATCGTCATATACAATTTAAAATAGGTGTTTAAAAAAATAAATTTATACTTTCTTACTTTTTTACCTTCATAATTTAATTATATTCAAATATAAGTACTTACTGTAGGTACTTATACTAAAATTTAAAAAGTGTCAAACAAAATTTGTAAAATTATCATCTCTTTTCTTGTGTTGTAGAATAAACGGATTTAATTAATTTTATTATTGACTGTGCGTAAATTTATTAAGATAAGAAGTTTTTTTTAATAACCTTTCATTTGTAATTTACTAAAATTGAAACGGTATACCCAACGAAAATGTTTGTTTTATTTTTGAATACCATTAACTGGAATCTTCCTAATAAATTTCGTATTCATTTTTTTACCTAATGTCTACCTAGTATTTTATTTTTTTTCAATCGTCATTAATGAGCAAAAAAAAATGGCATTAAGAAATTATGTATAAATCGCTTTATTTATAATCTAAAATACTAACTCATGACTATATCTGATAATTTCACATACACTAGAAAGTAATTTATTTGTTCATACATTTATGAATAGTACTTTTATAGCTTTATCCATGTCAAAAATTCATATTGATATAGATGACACATTTTAAATGTGCTTTAGGGTTTAGATAGTCACTCAGAAACATTTTCAATTTTGAATTTCAAGCGGTAAAGTTGAATAGTTTTTACTATTTTAAGCTGTGGAAAATTTCGACGAATTAAGTTAGATACATATAGCAAACTGTAACACTAGAATCGACCACCGCTTTTATATATTTCGAGTGATGTCATATTCGAAATCGTTTTTCGAATTCGACGATTTTCTTTCAAAATGTTTTTAATGACAATGAAGTATAAACATTACTGTCTTAAAACTATAGAACTAACCGCCCCGGTGCCTAGCCAGCCTAGTATACATTATTATGTCCTCCTTTTTTAATTAGAATTTAAACGAAATGTAGTCCATTTTTTACCATGAGTTCAGTCCGTGTGGTTAGTATATAAATATATATTAATATATATTAATATATTATATGGCACTGGGCGACCTCTACTGCCGGCATTCTAATCTAAGCTCAATTAGTTTCAAACAAAAAATAATTCTTTTCAATTATAACTATTTCATTACATAATATGTGCCCAGGTACAAAGTTTTAATCAATAACACATGTTAATATCATATCGTTTTTGATACAGTAACTACGCATCGAACCTATACCAACAATTAAAAATAAAATGTACATTTTATTATTAATGAGAATTCGCGGCCTTCAGAAAAATGTTATGTAAAATCGGCTGCTTGACTATAATATACTAAAGGTACCTACTTTAATGATAACTAAATAAAACAATAATGATAATGATAACAATAAACATAAAATTTTTAAATTATACCATTGTCAAGACATGATAAGACTTTTTACAGTATAATAATTTACTCGAAATACGATTTTACTTGTGAGGTTTTTGAATGCACTCGAATGGCACTATTAAAATATATTGTTAATCAATTACTATATTATGCAAGTTTTAAGTTTAAGTCGCGTACATAAGGAGTTATGTTGTGAACAACTTTCATATATTGTAACTGACAGTATTGATAATGGTATTTATATTATGTAGGTACCTACTGACCAGTATAATATACTTTCGTACTGGTATTTTGAATTTTTAGATGTTTTCGATTTTTTTAGTGGTTTTGGTATTTATTTTAATTACGTCGTAACTCACGTCACGAATCCCGTGCTTTGTATCAAAGACGCGGTCAAAAACAGTTCACATTTCGGATTCCTGGTTCAAAAACAAGTATTTTACTTGGTACAAAAAAGAACCGAAAATATCACCAGTCCTAGTATACGCATATACATAATAATGTAAATTTTCATAATTACAGCTTCTTGTAATTTTCACGTTCTGATGAAAACACGGTATGACGTTACTTTGATTACAACAAATGTTTCCTTCATATCCCAAGGAAGCAATATTAATTAGGTATTCTGATTCTGACTCGTACACCCCGGGGGCTCGAGAATACCACTAAACTTCATTGCATTAAGTGCTACATATTATTATTATTATACTTACTATTCCAAAAACCGTGGACTTTGTAAGTATAAATGTGTACATACGTATATGTGTATAAGAATATATATTCTATAGGTGTTTGGAAAACATCTTATAGGTAACGATAGTATACGCTTTAACAATTTTCCATTGTACCCTCAGACAGTTACGACACGGATAATTCTGGACCATATAAATGACGTGAAAAATACCCCCACACCAGACGACAGGTCACCATTATGTAGGTGAGCAGTATTGATCATGGACTCGGAAAGGACGCATGCAGACACCGTACCGGCACAGGTGAAATAGCATAAAATAACCTATCTTAAGTTGAAATAATTTTACTTTTTCCGTGAACGAGAGAAAAATTGTATCGACTGTCGAACCACGTGATTAGAACGATCGACACTGTGCACCTACAGTTATTATTACTACATATTATAATGTTGTTATTTTTTTTTATTCGTGTTAATCGTCGTCCGAGATATTATGACCGATATTCAAAAAGCCTAAGTGTTTGCGCCGCAAACAGGTCAGTGTAGTGCTGTGTGTATATATCGGTGTGTTCCACAGTGGCAGCCTGCATCGGCGGACGCTTATCAGGCATTCGTGTGCGACCGGCCAGCCTGCTGTGGAACCATTATCAATGCGTTCGTTATATTTGGTTACGTTCAAAACTTTAAGTTGTTTTTCGTGTGATCATGCTTTCAGTGTCATAAAGTTCATAGTTTTTTCCGTTGTTTATTGTTTTAGTGTGGTGACACTGAAAGGCCGTTCGTTTTGTGGTTTTCCGTTTGTGTGCTCGTTGTTAAGTAGTTCAAGCAACGCCATGGTTGTCACAATGTCATCATTTTTTGTCATGAGCTGTTTGCAGTCGTCCCAAACCACGTTGTAGTGAATTTGTGATTAAGTTTCTGGTAATTATCGTTCTCAGCAATTTTTATTGCCATCATTAATTTTGTTGTTCCCAGTATAGGGTGGTCAAAATTACCAGAGATTTGTGTTGTGATTCCACGTGTTTTTGGTGTACCTCGTTGCTCGTGGTAGTAGTGCAAACACTAGAGATCCTGTTCCGGCTGCATCCAGTGTGTTTTTGTTCGTGAAGTCATCGTCAACAGTTGCTGGCACACATTCGCACGTACGCAGGGTCAATTTGTTTTTTATTGTAACTTATTGACATACTTACAGGTCCTGGTGCGGTAACGTGGGTGTAAAGCCAGGTGTGTGTCTCAACTGTTATGTGAGTATTGGTCGACCAAATATGTGTGTGTGTATGACCGATGGGTCCTCAAGTATTATATTATTATTTATTAGTTATATTCTGTTTAATTATTACAGCCAACCAGGCTCATTGTACACTTGTAATAACCATTAGATGCTGACAATAAACACTATATCATTAAGAGGACGCCACACCCGCATGTGTTGTCTCCGTCTTACAAATGTACAACATAGCAAAAACTCTTTTGCGAGGGACAACTTTTCTCGCACCATATTTGTTGTAGAACTACCAAATTTTCACAGCACTTAAAGAAGAACTTTATCTGTGCAACAGAGTGCTCTTTTTTTCAATAACATATATACAATACAAGTTATTTGCTTCTAAACATTTGATTTTTTAATTTGCTTATAAAAAATGATTGGATGGTGCTATTGAAAAAAAGAGCACGCTGTTGCACAGATAAAGTTCTTCTTTAAGTGCTGTGAAAATTTGGTAGTTCTACAACAAATATGGTGCGAGAAAAGTTGTCCCTCGCAAAAGAGTTTTTGCTATGTTGTACATTTGTTAGACGGAGACAACACATGCGGGTGTGGCGTCCTCTTAACTATAACTTTACTGCATTATTATTTATTGGCGTGATGGTGTACTTGGCGTTTCACTATACACCAAGCATCGAGCGCGCAAACACTAAGATTAACACAATTAGGTACGAAATCCTGCACTGTTTTTAAGTATAATTATTATTTAATATGTATATTATCATAATATTCAAGTAGGTAGATACCTACAGGCTACAGGTACATAGTCCGTGATTGTACATAATATAAACGCGCTGTATGTTTTTTGTTTTGTTTTGTTCATTTTCATCAAAGGTTATGACATTTTTCATAAATAATATTATATGACGCAGTAAACTTAGTTGAATTTTTCTGAACAGATTAAGTTGTGAAATTTGAAGTGATCGAGTACTCACTCTTTTACCTGCGGTTCGATTTCAAATATTTTTTACTTTTAGATTAGTTTTACACTACGTCAATGTCTATTACAGTTTGAAATAATATTCAAATTATCGCTATGGTTTACTCTAAAATTCGTCAGAAGTCGATCCTGTGGTGGTTGACGAGAAAGTCGAGAAAGCTAACAATTCCTAATAAGCTTTCTAGAAATACAATTTAAAACAACCACTTTATACAGAAATCTTCACTGAATGTTCATAACCTAGGTACGTAATACATTTTTTTTTTTGAACTTTTGTTGACTTGATTTGATACACTTTCGTCTACCACCAAAACGATACATATCCAATTACCCAAATTCACAGTTAAACAACGTAATATTAATACTGTTCGTCCGTACTTTTCTATCGGCATGAACGGCGCCGGCCCGACCATTGAGAAGCTGACGACGGTCAGGATTGTGCCGATGATCATAATTTTTTTGGGATTCAATCCGGTGTCGTAAACGTATCCGACGACGGGCACTATCAGTGCGTATGTTCCACCGCTGATGATGAACATGAACCCAACTTCTACCGATGAAAGTCCAAACTGCGGAACAAAGGTATAAATAAATAATAATGCGTGTGTGTTGTGCTATTACGCGTTATAATATTATAATATATATTTTCGTACACGGGTGTGCCTGATTAAATTTTGATTAGACGATTTACCTTAGATAATATATTAAAATTTAATGAAAACCGTATCAGGGCCCGTGTTGAAATACACGTATACGCCTAACCTCAAGTGCTATAAGTTATAACCTTGAAGAGAGTATATCTATATCCTTAGTCTAGTATATACCTAAACTAGTTAATAGATCTATCGTGTATGGTTATGTCACGTCAATATTGTAGACAAAAAATGTATAGCAAGACCATTAATTATCATTACTGATATCTAGCAGAAAATAATGAAATTCTCCATGCAAAAATCATAAGACTACGACGACGACCGTGTGTAATTTCTAATTTAATATATTTTAATTGAATGATAAACGTACAAAATGTTAAAGCATATTTTAGGTGTTTGAAATGGCGGTTAAAATAAAAACTGTTGTCCCTCCGAAAGTTTTTTATTTTTCAAAAGATAGTTGGTATCTAAAAGTTTTGCAAATTCTTTAACGACTCTATCTTGTGGTAGGCATATACGAGACGTGGTAATAAATGTAGTTGAATAACGAATAAATTGAAACTTTAAAAGTACCAACAACAATATAATATCATGTTGTTCCTCTATAACTTTTTACATAGATCTTTAACAGATATTTTCAAATTAAGAATTCACAACGTAAACTAGAGAAAACCCAAGAAAATATATTTTTAAACAAACACGGATATCTCCGGATGCAAAAACTAAAAACCAAATTGAGCACGTTATAATTAACAGAAGACACAAAACATGCATAACTAATGTAAGAAGCTACAGGGGAGCAGATGGTGATTCCGTTCATTATTTAGTAATCATGAATCTCGTGCCAAAGTTGTCAGTGAGCTGTAAGAAGAAAAAACAACATAAGCCAAGAACTAAAAAATTCTGATAAAGCAAAAAACCCAGCAGAAGTCGAAGCATACCAAATTAATTTTACTGGCATACTTAATAGAGAAAGTGTGCTTCAGAATGACATTGATGAAGCATGGGTAAAGATCAAAGAATCAGTGAATGAAGCCGCTGAAAACTTACAAGTCTTGGGATCGAAGAAAAATAACAAGTGGTTTAATACGAAATGTCATGAAGCAATCAGGGAGCGCAACTTATGCAGGATTAACATGTTACAAAACGCTACACAGGAGAACATACAGGCCTATCAAAATGCAAGGTCCCAAGCAAGTAAAATATTAAGACAGAGTAAGAGATTAGCTGAAAAGAAACTGATAGAGGACATTGAAATATACAAAAGGAATCCAAGATTATTTTTGGAGAAATGTAAATATGTAAAACAAGGTTATAAAGCAAGATTGACATTAATGAAATATGATCAGGGAAACCTTATAACAGACACTAAGAAAAGTGTTCTGCACTTTATGGAATTTTTAAGAAAATTTTAAATAGTATACAAGATAACATCACACATTCACACCCTACGAAAAAATAATCTATCATACAGTGGAGCCAGAAGTCACGGAGCCTACATTGGATGAAGTTAAAACGGTAATAAATTCTCTTAAAAATAAAAAATCCCCCGGCGGGGACGACTCTGTCTTGTGGTAGGCATATACGAGACGTGGTAATAAATGTAGTTGAACAACGAATAAATTGAAACTTTAAGAGTACCAACAACAATATAATATCATGTTGTTCCTCTATAACTTTTTACATAGATCTTTAACAGATATTTTCAAATTGAGAATTCACAACGTAAACCAGGCACAATTTTAAACGAGATAATATATTGTCACTACTCACCAATTAGTTGTGAATTTCCATAAATTATCATTGACTAACAACTTTCGGGTGAACAAACTTTCAGCTATCAGTGTCGTATTTATTAATATAATATAGTCGCAATGCAACGATCAGAATTTTATTTTCTCTGTGTTATTTTCAGTTTAATATTCTAGTACTATGTAAAGCGCGTAACGATATTTTATTATTTATTCATACTCGTGTAACGATATATACAACCCTGGCCCTCCACGCGAGTTTTTTTCAGTGAAATCAAAAGTAACCAAATGTATTCGAATAAAAATAATATAATATTTTGATGTCGGTACACGTCCGACAGTGGACATAATTTGGTAATTCAGCATAGTATAATATATTAATGTATATACCTATTATAATTTGTAATAATTTAATAATAATTAATATTATACAGTAAGGCTCGGGTATTTGTTATAATACAACGTCTATATTGACATTGGCCGAGTTATAAAAATCACGTTCAGATAAAAGTTTATAAATTATAACTATAGTTTCAATTTATACACTAGATACAATCTCATTTATTATTGCTGAACGTCTACAAGTAGGTAGGTCGTATAGGAACTCAATTTGTGAAAGACTTGCAAAAACAACGAGGCAACATACGTTTGTTAATTAAATCGTCATTGAGTAGATAGTAGGAAGAAAGTACTTATATATACTTATAGATAGGTTGTTCCAGTCGTGTTTTTAAAAATAGTTAGGCACTTACCCCTCGAATGTGTGGCTCCAACGTGGCTGAATAGTATCCCATGGCTGTGGCTGTTATCAGTGTTGCGATAGAATTAACGAGTACTGTAGGGACCCTCATGAGGTGTGTTACTTTTGCTGCAATAGACACAATATTATAATCAATATTAAATATAGTTATTATATTAAATAATGTATGATATATATTATACGACGGCAATATTAATTTAATTAGATATCATTGGTATACCTAATGTGTATTATGTAACATGGTTACGGTTGTAACTTGTAAAATGTAAATGCTCACTTTTAGCCTTGTTCGGACTGGGCACGTCTTGTTTCATTAAAATGCACACCAGGAACGACGTTCCAAGTGTGATGAAGCCCATGACCACAAACGGCAGTGAAAATCCACCAACCTGTCAATATTGACACGGTATAATTTATATAATATGAATAGAATAGTATAGGCAGCTAAGTCGAAAAAATATTAACTATTTTATACAAATATTAGTATAGGACCATTAAAGTCTAAACTCACCTCGAACAGCAAAGCGCCGAGAGTTGGTCCGACGATATATCCTATTCCGTAACATACTTCAAGAGCGGACTATATAATATTATAATGTAAAAATAAATCATTAGTAATTAGTTTCACATATTTTTAGTCGATTGAATATTTTAAGAGTGTGATTTATTAGTGCAAATGAAATTGTATAATATGTAGACTGCACAGGTACTCTATAATCTATATTAATATATTATATAGATTTATTTTATTTTTTGTCTACAGAACAACAGAACACGATGGTTCCGGAGAAATATAATATGTAATAATGTAATATAAATATTTTTTTTACTATTATAATTAATTCGAGTAATTTGTTTGATGAAACTTTTCGAAACCGTGAACAATTGTTAGCAGTGCACCGCCAAATACGTGAGTTTTTTATTATTATATTCTTGTGTAGCACTAGTAGCTTGCCTTTTTATTATTATATCATTGTGTTGCTGTAATTTTTATATATTTGTAAAATTTGTTATTATTGTCGTCGTGTATTATACAACAACATATTATTACCTTAAACGTGTTACCATTTTATTATTAATTATAAGTACACACAATCACAAATACACACACACACACCCACCACACACTAGCACTCTCTTGTCTTGCTCGGCGACCCCGTCCAATGCCTTAGAGTCGCTATACATAATATATACACACAAATACACAGGTCGGTCGGTGTGTGGTAGTGGTACAGTGCACGAAGTATTTTGGTGACCCGGCGCGTACCCGGCCCGTACATTTTGGTGACCTCGACGTGATACGGCGGCGGTATCGCAATTATTTATAATTATTCTTGGTATCGCAATCTCATGATATACGTGGTGCATTACATTATACATTAAATTCGATCCAATTATTTTTAAAGTTGAATTTTTATTGTATTGTTTCGTGCCTACGTAGTATTGTACTTTGCGTGCATTTATTATTTTATAATAAACAAGATTTGGAATTGAACTAGTATTATCTCTTTTTATAAACTACTACAATAAAGGTAGCAATGGCTTTAGATGCAGAAGCACTGAAGGTGCTATCTGAACTCAAACGTAAGCGGGGTGTTGTGAAGGCCGCACTCACGCGAACGCTAAAATTTATCGGAAATTTTGATGCAAAGGTTGAGGCGCTATCCCTACTAGAGTTTAGGCAAGAAGAGTTGCCCCAAATTAATAGGAAATTTGATGACGTGCAATTCAGATAGAATTTCTCAACACTGATGAGGCTTTGGAAGAAGAAAGGGAAAGAGAAGAATTTGAAAAAAATTATTTCGCAGCACGTTCACAAATTCAAGAAATTATAAATAAGAACAAACGTCGCAATGCATCGGGTGACGAGGCTTCACTTGATTCATCAGCGCCGTACCCACGAGCACGTCTGGCTCCGATCGATTTACCGAAGTTCAACGGAAATATACAAGAATGGGAAGCTTTCTTCGACAGCTTCAAGGTGATGGTGCACGACCAAGAATATCCACCGGCTCATACATTTCACTACCTTCGTTCAACATTAAGTGGACAAGCACTGGACTTGATAAAGCCTCTACCGATGACGGACTGTATAAATATAGGTAAACGTTTTTATTTTGATATATATCTGTATAGCCAATATCCATATAGGTAATATGATAATTTATTTTTAAAGTCTAATTAAAATATAACGGTGAAACAATTTTTGTCTTATATAAATGAATGTTTACAATCTGTACTAATAATATCACATCAGGTAAATTAAATTAGTAATGAACATAAACAAATCAACATGAAGACATGGAAGAGGGGGCAACCCATTAGTAGCACCTCTAAGATAAATAATAAAATAATTTTCCATTACTTTTTTGAGGAATGATTTTTGTAATTATATTATATTTGTTAAGGCGTGTCTTGGTCAATTTCTCCTTTACCGCAATATCATGAAATAGTTAAAGGATATTTGGGAGATTAGAGGATTTTTGAGTTTAGTAAGATTGCTGTGAAATCTTTTATAATAAATTGGTGGGCTAGTTTTTTGAGTGTGTGGATATGTAGGTCATTGAGTAAATTTAAGTTAGAGACATGTCATGGGCATTCAGTAATTCGTAAACTAATCGCATGAAATGCTTCCAGTTGTTGAACCGTTTTGCTTGGCCCAACATTTGGATGCCGCATGACCAAATAGGAGGTATAATAGCTTTATAGATGAGTATTTTGTTATTGAGGCCATGTTTGGACTTAAGGATGAGTGGATAAAGTGAAGGCGTGAGTTACCTTCTTTCAAGTAGTACTTTAATTTTTGGTATGATTTATTTCCAGGTGAGTCTTTTTCAATACAATTTCAAACATCAAACATTTTGATGAACATTTGAAAAACTTCACCTCGTTAAATACAAGACTAATGTTGTGCTTTGTGGGGGGGGGGGGTGATAAACGTAAATAAATTTAAATCTCAATGTTATGTAAGTACAATGATAGATATACGTACGAAAGTGCTGGCAACTGATTCGGGAAAAGAGACAGCCGTCAGCGAGAACGCGGCGACCATAGCTCCTGTAGCTCCCAAAGACTCCAACACCCTAAGGCACAGCGATAACAGCAAGAATATGTTTCTTTCATCGATATACGTCAAATATCTGTAATAATTAAAAAAAAATAAAATACACGATATTATAATCTTATGTGTACGTGTAATTTTCATATCTTTTTAAGGATACGATAAAAAGCGTAGGTTTTTTTTTTTTGTTCACGTTACCCGAAAGCTATGGTCGACAGAGCGTTCAATACGATGCCAATCACCAACATATATTTCACCCCAACCTTTTGTACCTGAAAAACATAACAATAATAATTTGTATACTAATGTTCAAAATACTATGTACAATGTACATTGTACTTATTGATTTGTACATATTGTAATACATGATTTTATTGAGTATCTGACTAGATTTATTACAAAACTTTTACAATTTGTTCACACTAAATTAGTTTAAAATTTCACCGTCGGTAAAAGTACTGCACCAACATAACATACACTGTACATATTATTACAATTTGTAATGTAATTTTATATGTCCAGCGATCAGTATTTTATTGGTAAATGCAATTTTTAGTAACTATTTCTATAATTATAATTGCTGTTTGCAAACGTTACTTTAGATTCTGAGGGGAGCGATAAATAGGTATTTACAATATTGATTTTACAGCAAAACCAGTACTACTTTATTTGTTTGATATAACATAAAAAAGAATAATATTGTAGATTCTTTGATTTTCAGTGACTGTTCATATTGTCATTTTCAAAATATTTTGACTCTTTTTGAGCTATTTATAGACATTCGAACATTTTTCTATATCAAAAAATGTATTGATCTACCCAAAAAGTTGGAAAATGCAATGAAAAGTTTCTCATAAGTTAATAAGTAAATAAGTTCATATACCAATAAAAAAATATCGAAAATACATATAGCTAGGTACGGTAATTTTTTATAAGCGTTATTTTAAGTTAGAATTTCAACGAAATTCGTCTGTACGGTGAAAATTTCAAGATTATTTTGTTGTTAAAAATTCATACAGTTATTATTATTATTATTAACCGTCAACTACTGTACAGCAAAGTGTGCAACCACTTAACCCTTTTTTTATAATTGTGCTTAAAGGCTATATGCTTATGCTTCAAGACCATTTATTTCAATCAGAATTATATAGGCCTTATTTTGACGAATGTCTACTGCGTGTTCATTCTTTTCGCGCTTATAAAATGAAATAAAAGTAGAAATACCTTTATAGTCACTATAATGTACTATATCAGTGGTTTATATTATGTAATAAGTGTGCATTTATTTACTATTTAGTCATAATTTGAGTGTTAAAAAATTTCAAATAAATACTTATGAAGGCATTATATTTAATATTTAGTGTCTAGATCTGCTAGAAGCCTAAATTATAATTACAATAAACATATTTTGTATTAACCATGATGATTTAAAATTGCATAGTTTTGCTTAAAAAAGAATGTCTCACATTTTTGCATAGTTTTTGGGCACCTAAAAAATATTAAAATTCAAAGCACTCTAAAATAATTCTCCAATTGCGTTTTTGTTAATTCCTTATAGTTTATTATATTATACGCCATAATAAAGTCATTACCTACTTTCTTTAAACCCATTGAGATATAGAGCTACAAATAATAATATTATAACAATTATTGTTATACCTAGAATATTGACATTTAACCTGTTAAATATAGGTATGTTCGTACAACAAAAACTCATTAAAATTAAAAATCATTCTAACTATAGTTTAAATGATTACCAAGATATTAGTTATTTTTAATTGTAGGTAAAATTATACCATATTGTTCGTTTTTAATTAAAAAATAATATTCAAAATACCGTACAGTGTACAAAACAGGTGTAATTTATTTTTAATAGTTGCAAGTTAAAAAATTTACTGACCGAGTAGGTATACTAATTTTATAAGTTTACCTTTTACTCTTGTGGTAAATTTACGACTACAAAAAGTTGGTTTCAACTATGTAACTGTGCCACGCTTACTATCATGAATGTAAGGGACCTCCTAATGTATAGTACATTTTATTAAATCCAGTGTTATAATTTACTTTGCTCAAGTTATTTAATTACATAGTATTGTATATAACTTTAATAAAAAAGGTTTTAAATTACAACATATATAATACTCTACTCTATACTCTATAATTTAGGATTATAAAAAAAGTGTATTCAACAATGTGCAAACTGTTTCAATACCTTTTGGGCACTTATATCATACTTATTACTTATTATTTAATTATAATCAACTTGTAGGTAGTCAATATTGACGCACATATGGTACGTAATATATGTACCCAATAATCGTTATATTGTGTTTAAAACTTTAAACGCTTAAAAAATGTTTGTCTGGGTATTTTCGATATTTTTTAACTGCTGCATGAATAAATTATGAGAAACCTTGTGTTTAACATGAATCCGAAAAAAACCAAAAAAGAATGACAAAAGTTTAAATGACCATAAATATTTCAAAAAGATACAGAAGATGTTGAAAGTGTTATCATGTGTTTTATTAAGTTTTTGATTATAAAATAATTAAATCGATTAAGTCAAAAATTGGTATAGCATAAAAAGTTTTTTCCAGATTTCTTTTAGATTTTAAGTATTTAGCCCTAATATATAATTTATGTACTATGTTATCAATACTACCACAGAATAATTATTAAATTATTCATAATAACATAATATAATACATGCACTTCGTTGCCTGGCAACCAATAATTATTATTATGGCAACCATTTTTAAACAAAATTTTCCATCAGAAATCTCAAAATCCCGGTTTGAGCCCCACCAGACAGACACACAGACAGATATACATTTATTTTTATATAATAATATATAGAAGGTACCTAAACATTTTAATGTTTTAAAATCAAATTTGTAATAATAAATAGGTAATAATATTTAATTAATTAATCATAATTTTTATTTTTTTTAATTATAGTTCCAAATAAACTAGTATGTAGCGCTAGTATTCTTGACACACGCAGCTGATCGTCTTAGCACTTTTCAGTTTTATTTTTTTTAGATGAATATTTGCCTTGTTCCGTATCCAGTACATCTTAATTCATGCAAAAAACCACATGAAAATAATTACAGAACGTCAGACATCAGATTTTTACAAAATAAATTCTGTTTTATTGTTGTAGTAGTCGCCGTGGTCGTCACCGATCGTGTGCATCGAGAAAAAGAATGGAAATATTCGACTGTGCTTAGATGACAGAAAAATCAATACCGTCATAATACCAGATCGAGAGTGTCCAACAAACATGGACGACCCACTCGTCAAATTCCAGGGAATGAATTACTTGAGTTCGATCGAAATAAAGGCCGGTTATTGGCAGTGTCCATTAAAGGAAGAATGTAGAGAAATAACTGCATTTTTGCACAAAGGCCCGCGGAACTACCAATTCAGAGTATTGCCATTTGGACTAATTAATTCAGTTGCAGAATTCCAAAAGATCCTAGATCAAGTATTAGGACCAGAAATTTTACAATTTTCTGCAATTTATGTCGACGATATACACATCACATCATCTAGTTTTCAAGAACATATGCATCACTTGGAGCAAATGTTTCAAAAACTTGCACAACACAACATAACTATTAACCGGAAGAAATCGCAGTTTTTAAAAAATCAAGTTATCTTTTTGGGTCATATAATAAGTGAAAAAGGGATATCCACGGATCCAGACAAGATACAGACAATCAGAAACTTCCAACCTCCTAAAACCAAAAAGCAGGTACAAACTTTCATAGGATTCATTAACTTTTACCTGAAATTCATTAGGGACCTGTCACAAGACACAGGGCACCTGAGCAAGTTTACCAAAAAAGACGCGAAGTGGGTGATGCCTCGGTGGGCTATTACGCTATACTGTATTGAGGTTGGTTATAATATAGTAATCGTGTTATTATAATTAGAATATTATTATATAAATATATTATATGGTATATTAGTATAAGACTAGTAAGGGGACTTGGCTATGTAACTTCACTTACACGTTAGGCGCCCGAGATAGGCAACCTCACTCCCGTCATTGCCATCCGCAGGAATGATGGTGGAGATGAGTCGCGACCGACACACTAGAATACCAACACATACAAGACGAACTACTGGAAACAGTTCATAGGACACGGGATGGCGAGAGGACGGAACAAGCTGGTTTGACACAATACCAGCACAACTTATGAACTAACTTAATAACTAAGGCAGGCAACGATGACACTTGTACCTGAGTCCGCAATGCTCTGGTCGACCTAGGCGGCCTCTCACACACCACCCGGTGCTGGCGGACTTATGCGTCGTGGCCGGAAGCTGCAGATAGGTCCGCGAATGCCCGATGATCACGTACCAGAAGGTGACACACAAGGTTGTCCACGAATTCAAATAGGTAGGTAGATAATAGAAGTCAAAAACTTACACGCTGTGTTTCTGAATGTATCGGTACGTTTTTATTGAATGACTCTGTTTGAGCCACCACCAAAATACACAGTAGAGTATGATATATTTTACAACATTAACAAATTGCGCTATACTAACAGCGAATAAACAATATCACAATAATGAGCTCAAAATTCGACGCATTGCGAAACTGAGCACATATTATATATATAAAAAAATAAACAATATAAAATATAAAAAATTACGTGAACAACAAAAAAAATTAGAGTATGGAATAATAATAATTGATAATTAATAAAGTATGGTATTGGATTTTCTTTCGTGCCGGTCGTATTTTGTTTATCATCTTGGGATTATGATACGGTGGAGTGTCAATGTTATCGTCGTATTGTTTTTACGACAATACCGTATCTACGTTCCGATGCTGGTTACGTAATTATAATCCCACTCGTTAACAGTGGGTATGGGGAACCATGCAACAACAAGCTTTCGAAAACATAAAACAAAAATTCCTCGAGGACATAATAATTCAATTCCCTGATTTCAAAAGAGAATTTCATCTCAACACCGATGCATCAACTACACACCTAAGAGCTGAATTATACCAAATTACCGACCAAGGACAGCGTCAGACTCTAAGTTTCGCCAGCAGAACCCTAAAACCAGCCGAGCGAAATTACAACACAACTGAACTCGAATTACTCGCAATAGTCTTCGCGTGTAAAAAGTTCAGAAATTATTTACTTGGAAATAAGACTAAAATATTAACAGACCACCATGCACTTACTTTTCTAAGTACTTGTCAGCTACTCAATGCTCGACTGAGCAG